TTTTTAAAGACAGAGTTTCGCTCATGTTGCCCAGACTGGAGTGCAATGACATGATCTTGACTCACGGCAACCTCGACCTTCTGGTTCAAGTAGTTCTCCTGCCTCAGCCACCCGAGTAGCTGGGATTACAGGCATGCACCACCACATCCGACTAATTTTGTATTTTTAGTAGAGATGGGGTTTCTTCATATTGGTCAGGCTGGTCTCAAACTCCCAACCTCAGATGATCTGCCTGCCTAGGCCTCCCAAAGTGCTGGGATTATAGGCATGAGCCACCGCACATGGCCTGGCCTTTAGATTTTTAAATTCAGAAGCACAAAAAAATTATTCTGGACATTTAAATCTTTCAGTCCTTGGTCTTTAACTTATAAAGGGTTTTAATCTTTCAAATGTAATGTTCCCTGAGATGTTCAAAACAGAATGGCTTTATATTCAAATTTGTTGGCATTTTACTGCTGAAATATCATTACGTATTGCCAAATGCCTTTGTTCAAAATATTATATCAAAGGCTCTACCATGTATCTAGACATAATTTGGAATGGGAAGTATAATAAATAAAATTTCTGCCTTAGATAGAAAGTGGCATTAGATTTTAATTAATTTTCTGTTCTAATCCAAAGTAGAATTTTCCAGGGTCAACATCTAAAGTTCTTCCACAGTCCAAATACCCAAAAGAAGATAATGGCCTCATGAAGAAAGGAAAAGAACCATTCAGATAAATATCCTCCAAAAAACAGGTTGTTAAGTGAACACAAATCTAGGAAATGTTTGAGAGAAATACCTCTTCCCTACTCCTAGCTTCTGTGAGAAGGACTGAGTATACTACTGGTCTCGCTCTATTGCTTTAACTTACATCACCAGTGAGGAGCTGGAATTATTTGATTAGTAAATTTGGGAAGGAAAATGAGTCAGGCTCAGCTCAGCTCTTTTTTGTTACATGAAAACTGAAAGAGGAGTTTTATGTTGTTTTCTGGAGGTTCTGTCTTTGTGAGAAAGTCAGTATTTTGCTCTGTCCTTTTTCTCTGGAGTCATATAGTAAGCTTTCTCCTCCAGGGTGGAAGGTAAAAAATGCAGGGTTGGAAAGGTCTAACTCATTTACCTTGGGGTGCCTCGGGCAGTAAGTTTGCTTAATTCTGAAGCTCAGTGTTAGCAAATTCACTAGGCCAACAATCTAAACTCACACCCATGAACCTAACCAATATAGGACTAATGAAGGTTATATTTCTGGCACTCTTTTTCCTACTTGATTAGAACCCAGGAAGAAAGAGGAATGCTGTTTTTAGAGGTCCTTTGAGAGATTCCAGCAAGGCTCAGCATAAACATCTGTAGTGTTTCTTTTTCTATTAGCAATAATCAGACGATTGTTAATATAGAAAACTAAAATGAATGTAACAAAAAGGAAACATAATCTTTATGAAGATAATATACTAAAGACCTTAACAAGAGATATGAATACATGAAGCTGTTCCTACTCATTAATGGAAGAACTTAACATTATAAAACAATCAATGCTTCACTAAAAATAAGTATCTGAAATTCTAAATGTCAAAGAAATTCCAGTAAAAACCACAAAATAATAATTTGAGAGATTTGGCTCTTTTAAAATGTGTATGAAGGAATAATGCTGCTCTAATACTAAAATAACAAAATATCAGAGAAGAAAAATCACCTTATTTGATATTAAAACATATTACGAAGTCATAAGAAATAACTTTAAACAGTGAAGTATTAAGAATGGAAAACAGACAAACGAATCAATAAAACAAGATAATTCAAATGCATACTCAAACATATACTAGAAGTTCATATTTGAATAAAACGGTTTTGCAAATCGGGGAAAGGTAAGCTGGTCAATAAATGGTCTGGGAAAAGTGACTTGGCATGTGGAAAAAATAACATTAGACATCTATTTTGCCATTTAAAAAATAAGGTCTAGATACAATAACTACCTAAATGTAAAAAGTAAATGTACAGGAGGGTATCACTAAGATGTTCCAACAGGAAAGAATTTAAAACAAAAGGCACGAAACATAAAATGTAATAGATTTGAACTTTTTGTGCATCACTGTTTGTAAAAGAAGCAGCATATTAGGAAGACATTTGCAATGGAGTAAGAGATTAAGGATTAACATAAAAAGAATTATTATGAAGAACTTACAAATCAAGGAGAAAAAGCAATAACCCAACAGCAAAAATGGAAAAGCAGCTCATTCAGAAAAGAAAACTCAACTGGTTAATAAAGAAAAGAAAATGTTACCTCCATGGTAATCAGAATGCTAGTAAAACAATAACCAGTCCCCTCTCCACCATCCACCAGATTGGCAAAATCTAAAGAGACGGATGCTACCAAGTCATGGTGGAAATAAAGGAAACTGGAAATCATGTATGTACCCCTGGTGGGAAGTAAATAACTG